CCATGGGTCCAGTTCCTGGTAACTACCACTCTGTTCTCAACTTCTGTAAGATCAGCTTTTTAAGGTTGCATGTGTGAGTGAGATCATGCGGTATTTGTTTTTCTGTGCCTGACTTATTTCACTTAATACAGTAGTCCCCAGTCTTTTTGTACCAGAGACCGATTTTGTGGAAGACAATTTTTCCATGGACTGGGTGGGGACGTTTCAGGATGAAACTCTTCCACCTCAGATCATCGGGCATTGGTTAGATTCTCCTAAGGGGCATGCATGTGCAGTTTACACTAGGGTTTGGGCTCCTATGAGAATCTAATGCCAGCACTGCTGATCTGACAGGAGGCAGAGCTCAGCTGTAATGCTCCTTGCTGTCGGCTCATCTCCTGCAATGTGGCCTGGTTCCTGACAGGCCACAGACTGGTACCGGTCTGCAGCCCTGGGGGTTGAGGACCCCGAATTAACATAATGATGAACCCTCCAGGTTCATCCATATTGTTGAATATGACAGGAATTCCTTCTTTTTTTGAGGCTAAATAGTATTTCATTGTGTGTATGTGTGTATATAATATATATGTGTGTATGCGTGTACATATGTACACGCACACACACATCGCATTTTCCTTATCTATTCATTTATTGATGGAGTTGATGGACAATTAGTTTGTTACCATATCTTGGCTATTGTGAATAATGCTGCAGTCAACATGGGAGTGCAGATATCTCTTTAATATATTTACTTCCTTTGGATATCTTACTGTTACCTTCTTTATTGCCTATTTAAGGTTACACTTATTGCTATGAAGTATTAGAAAATACTTCATAAAAAGAGCCAGTCTGCCCAGTGCAATTGAACATAGAATTGACTGCTCTGGGATACTTTGAATTTGGTATGCCTGTGTGTTGACTCTCTTTTCTGTTCTGCCTGCATCGCTTGGCTTCACCTTACCCCCAGTAGGATTATAAACACCATTGCAGAGGTAGGAAGGGCAGTCTTGTGGCAGCATTCAGATTTAAAGACCTAAGACATAGCTGGGCACGGTGGCTCACACCTGTAATCCTAGCACTTTGGGAGGCTGAGGCGGGCAGATCACGAAGTCAGGCGTTTGAGATCATCCTGGCCAGCATGGTGAAAGCCTGTCTCTACTAAAAATACAAAAATTAGCTGGGCATGGTGGCACACACCTGTAAGTCCCAGCTACTCAGGAGCCTGAGGCAGAAGAATTGCTTGACCCCAGGAGGCGGAGGTTACAGTGAGCGGAGATGGTGCCATTGCACTTCAGCCTGGGCGAAAAAGACCTAAGACATTTTGTTTTTAGCTTAACGTGAAAATGAAAACAATTTTTAAATTCTCAGAGAACTTATAGATATCCAGGAATAAGTCCCTAGATCCAAGCAACTCCAGTTGTATGTCTATAAATACTTTTTTTTTTAATTGCATTTTAGGTTTTGGGGTACATGTGAAGAACATGCAAGATAGTTGCATAGGTACACATTTGGCAGTGTGATTTGCTGCCTTCCTCCCCTTCGCCTATATCTGGCATTTCTCACCATGCTATCTCTCCCCAACTCCCCATCCCCTGCTGTCCCTCCCCTATTCCCCCCAACAGACCCCAGTGTGTAGTGCTCCCCCTCCCTGTGTCCATGTGTTCTCATTGTTCAACACCCGTCTATGAGTGAGAACATGCGGTATTTCATTTCCTGTTCTTGTGTCAGTTTGCTGAGAATGATGGTCTCCAGTTTCATCTATGTCCCTACAAAGGACATGAACTCATCGTTTTTGATGGCTGCACGATATTCCATGGTGTATATGTGCCACATTTTCCCTGTCCAGTCTGTCATTGATGGGCGTTTTGGTTGATTCCAGGTCTTTGCTATTGTAAACAGTGCTGCAATGAATATTCGTATGCATGTGTCCTTATAGTAGAACAATTTATAATCCTTTGGATCCATACCCAGTAATGGGATTGCTGGGTCAAATGGAATTTCTATTTCTAGATCCTTGAGGAATCGCCACACTGTCTTTCACAATGGTTGAACTAATTTACACTCCCACCAACAGTGTAAAAGTGTTCCTATTTCTCCACATCCTCTCCAGCATCTGTTGTCTCCAGATTTTTTAATGATCACCATTCTAACTGGTGTGAGATGGTATCTCAATGTAGTTTTGATTTGCATTTCTCTAATGACCAGTGATGATGACCATTTTTTCATGTTTGTTGGCTTCATGTATGTCTTCTTTGGAAAGTGTCTGTTATATCCTTGGCCCACTTTTGAATGGGCTTGTTTGTTTTTTTCTTGTAAATCTCTTTTAGTTCTTTGTAAATTCTGGATATCAGCCCTTTGTCAGATGATTAAACTGTAAAAAAATTTTTTCCCATTCTGTTGGTTGCCGATTCACTCTAATGACTGTTTCTTTTGCTGTGCAGAAGCTGTGGAGTTTGATTAGGTCCCATTTGTCTATTTTGGCTTTTGTTGCCCATGCTTTTGGTGTTTTGGTCATGAAGTCCTTGCCTACGCCTATGTCCTGAATGGTTTTGTCTAGATTTTCTTCTTGGGTTTTTATGGTATTTTGTAAAAATATGGAATGCTTCACGAATTTGCGTGTCATCCTTGTGCAGGGGCCATGCTAATCTTTTCTGTATCATTCCAATTTTAGTATATCTGCTGCCGAAGCGAGCACAATACTTTTTTTTTTTTGAGGCAGAGTCTCGCTGTCGCCAGGTACCAGGCTGGAGTGCAGTGGTGCAATCTCAGCTCACTGCAATCTCCGCCTCCTGGGTTCAAGCAATTCTCCTGCCTCAGCCTCCCATAGCTGGGACTACAGGTACGTGCCACCGTGCCCAGCTAATTTTTGTATTTTTTAGTAGAGACGGGGTTTCGCCATGTTGGCCAGGATGGTCTCGATCTCTTGACTTCGTGATCCACCCACCTCGGCCTCCCAAAATGCTGGGATTACAGGCATGAGCCACCATGCCTGGCCATACTTTTTTTTTTTTTTTTTTTTAAACGAAGTCTCGCTCTCTTGTCCAAGCTAGAGTGTAGTGGTGCGATCTTGTCTCAGTGCAACCTCTGCCTCCAGGTTCAGGCGATTCTCCTGCCTCAGCCTCTCGAGTAGCTGGGACTACAGGCATGCGCCATTATGCCCAGCAAATTTTTGTATTTTTTTAAGTAGAAATGGGGCTTCTCTATGTGGGCTAGGCTGATCTTGAACTCCTGACCTCATGATCTGCCCACTTTGGCCTCCCAAAGTGCTGGGATTACGGGTGTGAGCCATCTCACCCCACCTCTATAGATACTACTACTAAGATTCTAATAAGTCCATGAATAGTAACATATAAGTAGCATTTAAATACAATATAAAAAAGCCCTCACCAAAACATTGAACAGCTAGACTACTTTTAAACCTTTAAAAAAAATACTAGTGTTAAGTTTAAATCACATGATTTTCCGCCATTAATACTTTTTTTTTTTTAAAGACAGAATCTTACTCTGTTGCTAGGCTCCAGGCTGGAATGCAGTGGCAAGATCTTGGCTCACTGCAACCTCCGCCTCCTGGATTCCAGCACTTCTCCTGCCTCAGCCTCCCTAGTAGCTGGGACTACAGGGGTACGCCACCACACCCAGCTAATTTTTGTATTTTAGTAGAGACAGGGTTTCACTGTGTTGGCCAGGATGGTCTCAATCTCTTGATCTCGTGATCCGCCTCCCTTGGCCTCCCAAAGCGCTGGGATTACAGTTGTGAGCCACCACACCTGGCCGCCATTAATACTTTTAAGTCTATTTCTAATTTTTGTCTGTTATACATACTCCCTACACTTTTTCTTGCCCAATTTGTTTCCCTTTTCTCCCCGTCTCTTCTGCTACATATTTATTATGGGTTCATGGTTCTGGTAAGGGTCACAGTTCCCTCTCCTGATGTACAGGGAACTGAATGATGTACCATCCATCCCCTTTGATTGGCCTCTGGTGGACATATGACTGAAACTGGGCCAATTAAGAGTCTTTACCTGAGATTCTTCAGACTGAAAGCCAAGAGTAAGAGTCTTTTGTTCCTTGTAGATTGAACTGGGATGACATGAGAGTGCAAATTCCTGAAACCTAAGATATTCTGCTTTACCTTCTCATCTCCTGAATATTATGCATAGAGGAAGCCACTTGTTATTAGGTTAGGACAAGATTTTTTTTTAATATGTATTTTATTGCACTTTAGGTTCTGGGGTACATGTGCAGAACATGCAGGATTGTTGCATAGGTACATACATGGCAATGTGGTTTGCTGCCTCCATCCCCTCAAATATGTCACCTGTATCTGGCATATTTGCCCGTGTTAAACCTCCCCAACCTCTGTACCCCTGCTGTCCCTCCCCTATTCCCCCCCAACAGACCCCAGTGTGTGATGCTCCCCTCCCTGTGTTAATGTGTTCTCATTGTTCAGCACCCACCTATGAGTGAGAACATGCAGTGTTTGATTTTCTGTTCTTGTGTAGTTTGCTGAGAATGATGGTTTCCAGAGTCATCCATGTCCCTACAAAGGACACAAACTCATTGTTTTTTATGGCTGTGTAGTATTCCATGGTGTATATATGCCACATTTTCCTTGTGGATAGGACAAGATTTAACAAGACTGGGAGAGAGAATCCTGGTCGTGATGGAGTCTGCATCAGCTTCCTCAGCAGCTGGCATTATAGGCATGCCACTACCATGCCTGACTAATTTTTGTATTTTTTGTAGAGACAGGGTTTCACAGTGTTGGCCAGGCTGGTCTCAAATGCTTCACCTCAAATGATCAGCCTGCCTTGGCCTCCCAAAGTGCAGGGATAAAAGGTGTGAGCCACCACGTCTGTCCAAGTCTGCATCTTTAATACTGTAGCTGCTCCATTGTATTTCATCAAATTGCCTTTTGGTTGAAGCTAGTTCCAGTTGGATTTTTCACTTGGTATCAGAAGTCGTCCTTAAATAATCTGTATTATAATTTATAAGATTTATCCTTTTTTCTATATATCTAGGTGAAGATGGAGCTGGAAAAACAAGCTTAATAAGAAAAATTCAGGGAATAGAGGAGTATAAGAAAGGAAGAGGATTGGAATATTTGTACTTAAATGTTCATGATGAAGACAGAGATGGTGAGTGTCATTTGTTTTTTTTTTTGTTTTGTTTTTTGTGAGTGTCATTTGTAACAAATTTCTGAAGTGTATTCTGAGGTGCACTGCTATTCACGTTGGTCTTTGATTTTTTAGTGTGTCTTTTTTTACTAGAAGTTCTATGATGTCATGCTGGTCAAGAAATAGCTATGTTTAGGTATACTTTTATTAATTTGGGATTGGGATTCATATGTGATGCTTTTAAGCATCTTAAGGTATCCTGATGGGCAGATACTTCTTTCCCGCCATACTTGAAGAATCTCAGTTTTTCAACTCATCCTCCCTGAGATAGTGATTATTTTGCTGACTCCTTTTTCATCTTCTGATTTTCTGATAAAAATATTACTTAGCCTTTTTATCTATCAGCTATTTTTTCCTCTGTAGATCACTTGCCTTCTCATTTTTGTATATAATATCTTAAGTATGCATTTCTCTGCCTGCTCATGGTAAAAATATAAACATGTTATACATCCTCTAGTTTTGCATTAAAAATATGAAGCAGAGGATGCTATAATTAAGTCATTTCAGGCCTTTAGATAAATTAGTAGATGGCCTAAATAGTTGAACTTTGTAAAAGCCAGTAGCACATCTCCTGTGGAGACGTATTAAAATACCAAGTATACTGTTAGTTGGATGATGAAATGACTTAATCTTGTTGCCTTGGTTACTTTCTTTTGTCTGTTGTAGATCAAACAAGATGTAATGTATGGATCTTAGATGGAGACCTATATCACAAAGGCCTCCTTAAATTTTCACTGGATGTCATATCTCTGAAGGATACTCTAGTTATGCTGGTTGTTGACATGTCAAAGCCTTGGACTGCTTTGGATTCTTTACAAAAATGGGCAAGTGTTGTTAGAGAACATGTTGACAAACTGAAAATTCCTCCTGAAGAAATGAAACAAATGGAACAAAAGTGTAAGTAGTCTAGAAGTAGTAATGTAGGTTTCAAATACAAAATGTCTTAGCTAACTTTAATCTTTAGGAATTTTTTACTATGGAAAAAGGTTTAATGAAGCAAGCATACTATAACTACTTTTTTTTTTTTTGAGGCAGAGTCTTAACTCTGTTGCCCAGGCTGGAGTGCAGTGGTGCGACCTTGGCTCACTGCAACCTCCGCCTCTCAGGTTCAAGTGATTCTCCTGCCTCAGCCTCCTGAGTAGCTACTATTACAGGTGCTTGCCACCATGCCCAGCTTATTTTTGTATTTTTAGTAGAGATCAGGTTTCACCATGTTGGTTGGCCAGGCTGGTCTTGCACGCCTCACCTCAAGTGATCCACCCGTCTCAGCCTCCCAAAGTGCTGGGATTGCAGATATGAACCACCGCGCCCAGCCTGTAACCACTGTTTTTAAAATTCAGTTTAGATGGTGTGCTAGGTTTTAATACAGTTTCAAATTAAAAACATAAGACATAATGGTAAACTGTTTAGTAGAGATTCCTTTTCTCCTTGCCAAAAGGCTGTGTGTGTTCATTTCGGAAAGGTAGCTTTGCCGGGTAAAAAAATGGAATCTTTCTTCAGCTGCTCATTTTTAGCAGTTTCATTTTTTAATTAGTAATATTACTGACCTTGTCAAAATGAAATGTGCCTAGAAATATGTTGACAGTATACATATAAAGATATTAAGATGGTTTTATGATTTGCAAAGTACATGTTTCGTACATGCCCATGTGAATTGGAGATTTTTTTATGGGAATTATGAAAATGATATGGGTCATTTCTAACAGGTTGTAAGCCAGTAACATTTTAAAAAAATTTTTATTTTATTTTTGAGTTAGTCCTACACTGTTGCCCAGGCTGAAGTGCAGTGGCACAATCTTGGCTCGCTGAAACCTCTGCCTCCCAGGCTCAAGCCATCCTCCCACCTCAGCCTCCCAAGTAGCTGGGACTACAGGCATGCACCACCATGCCTGGCTGATTTTTAAATTTTTTGTAGAGATGGAGTTTTGCCATGTTGCCCAGGCTGGTCTTGAACTCCTGAGCTCAAGCCACCTGCCTGCCTCAGCCTCCCAAAATGCTGACATTACACGCATGAGCCACCATGCCCAACTGCCTGTAACATTTTCAGTGTCACTTAGAGTTCTTCATTTGCCAGTATTGTGCTTTGCATAAGAAAATACATAGTCAGTTGCTTTGTTATTATTCACTGACAGTAACTTTTAAAGAGAAATTGACAGCTGACTGGAATTTATATGTAAGAAAACAGTAAAAACTGAAAATGTATGCACTACTCTATTGAAAAAGACATCTAAATGCTTTTAGGTTTTTTTTTTCTGTTTACTATTGCCTGTGGAGTTTTTTTTTGTTCTTTCCCTAAGTCTAGATTTGTCCTAGAGTAGTAGTTCTCACTGTGGTTCCCTGAACCAGCAGCACTAGTGTCAGTATAGCCAGAAACATGTCAAAAATACACAGTTTCACTCCCTATCCCAGACTACTGAATTAGAAACTCTTGAGGGTGGAAATAGTAATCTGTGATGTAACAAGCCTCTGGGTGATTCTGGTGCATGATAAAATTTTAAAGCCACTGTTAGATTATAGCCTCTGATCTTAAGCGTTGTAGTCACCAGGGCTGCTAAGGGTACACACAGGCCCCTGTGTTTCTGGAGGAACTATGCCCAACTGTTTGGGATTCCCTGTTCCTTGACCCCATGTAAATTTAGAATACTTTTCCTCCATGTGAGTTAGTCTTCATGATCCAGAGATCTGGCTTCTAGTTACTTTAAGAGAAAACACCCATTTTCTTCTAAGTAAGTAATGTATGTACATTCTTCGTTTTTAGGAATTGAAAATAGGCTGGGCGCGGTGGCTCACGCCTGTAATCCCAGCACTTTGGGAGGCCAAGGTGGGCAAATCACAAGGTCAGGAGTTCAAGACCAGCCTGGCCAATATGGTGAAACCCCATCTCTACTAAAAATACAAAAATTAACTGGGCATGGTGGTGGGCGCCTGTAGTCCCAGCTACTCAGGAGGCTGAGGCAGAAGAATTGCTTGAACCCAGGAGGCGGAGGTTGCAGTGAGCCGAGATTGTGCCACTGTATTCCAGCCTGGAAGACAGAGTGAGACTCCGTCTCAAAAACAGAAAACAAAAAACTTGAAAATAGCCAGTCACAGTGGCTCACCCCTGTAATCCCAACACTTTTGGATGCTGAGGTGGGAGGATTGCTTGAGTCCAGAATTTGAGACCGACCTGGGCCACATAGTGAGACACCATCTCTACAAAAATAAAATAAATTATCCAGATGTGTTGACACATACCTGTAGCTACTCAGGAAGCTGAGCAAGATCACTTGGGTCAAGGCTACAGTGAGCCATGATTGTACCACCGCACTCCAGCATGAGTGACAGAGCAAGACCGTGTCTCAAAAAAAAGAAAGACTACTTTTGTATATTTTTCCCAGTATTTTTTATTTCTAAGCTGGAATCATAATTTGGCCTTATTTTATTTATATCTCTTTTAATGTTACTATTTCCTACAATGTTAAATATTCTTTGAAAACTTAACATTTTGTGGTTGTGTATAATTTTCCCTCATATACTATTTTAATCCTGTGCTATGGACAGTTTGTTTCCAGATTTGTTTTGCTTTTAAACATGAAGAAAAGAGTTATATGGAAATCCCTATGTGTATGCATCACTGATTGTGCCCTTGAGAATTCCTAGGAGAGTAATTACTGAGTCAAAGCATACATTTTCAAGTCTCTTGATACATTCACATTTACTTTATATTTTTTAGGGACAGTTTTGACAACCTTGCAAAAACTCCTAGAAACTGATCAGCATTGGTAATATTTCATTGTTGTGCCAGGGTTACAGAATGAATGAGTATGGCCCAAGATTGAGCCTAGGTAAAAAAGGAGAGACCTGAGTAAAGGGTTCTGTGAGAGGAAGTTAGTATTAGAAAATCATCTAGACTATCTTTTAAGTTGTGGGCTTTTTTTTTTCTCCCACATTTATTTTTCTTTTATCCATACAGTAGCCTTTGTGTATTAGAGAAGGTAGAGAGATAAAACTAATCCGTGACTTGACCAAAATATATTTCATAAATTGAGCCAGGTCTAGATAGAATCCTACTTTATAGAGCCATCCCATGCAGTAGTAGTATTCTGTTCCTAATTATTAATGTGGGTCCAGTGTTTGTATATTTTCTTTGAAATAGGTTTCTCAAACTGTTTTTGTTCCTTTTCTTATACAAGACTCAGTATAAATTCAAGTAAATTTTATCTTTAGATTATGGCAAGAAAAGTTACCTGCTGAAATAAAGCAATTTCTAATCTGTGTTTACTTTGATTTTCAGTGATTAGAGACTTCCAAGAATATGTAGAGCCAGGAGAAGACTTCCCGGCGTCTCCCCAGAGAAGAAATACTACATCACAAGAAGACAAAGATGACAGTGTAGTTTTACCTCTGGGTGCAGATACACTTACACATAACTTGGGCATTCCAGTACTAGTAGTTTGCACAAAGGTTAGTTTGCTTCCTAGAGATTCTGCTACTTATGTTCACTGAGGTTGAACAGCTGTTTTGTTTTCCAGGCTTTTTGGAGTTAATACATTAGTTCTTCTAGATAATTTTTAATGAACAAATAATAGTTTAAAGTATTGAATGATATTAATATGTTGTTTTTGTGGTCTTAATTATAGTTCTTTGAAAGAAAATGTAATTTCAGATATTTGGGATTGAATTTCATGTTCATAATTCCAGTTGAACTTCATTGTATGATTAATCAGTTTAGTAGAAATAATTACAGGTAAAATGATAGTTTATTGGTTTTTATAAAATTATTGTTTTTTCTGTCTTGATTGAGTTATATAAAATTATTTTTCGACATTAAATTTTTTTTTTTTGAGGCGGAGTTTTGCTCTTGTTGCCCAGGCTGGACAATGGCACCATCTCGGCTCACTGCAACCTCTGCCTCCCAAGTTCAAGCAATTCTCCTGCCTCAGCCTCCCCAGTAGCTGGGATTACAGGCTCCCACCACTGCTCTTGAGTAATTTTTTGTATTTTTAGTAGAAATGGGGTTTTACCATGTTGGCCAGGTTGGTCTTACTCCAGACCTCAGGTGATCCACCTGCCTTGGCCTCCCAAAGTGCTAGGATTACAGGCGTGAACCACAGTGCCCAGCCTCAATGTTAAAATTTTGTATATTCTCTAATATCAGAGGATTATGTACTTAAAATAGACTTTTAAACACATAGCAGCACTCATTTTTGACATGCAGTTAGTTATCAAGGGTTTCTGTTTTTTGTTTTGTGGGGTTTTCGTTTTGTTTTGAGATGGAGTCTCGATCTGTTGCCCAGGCAGGAGTGTGGTGGCGCGATCTCCACATACTTCAACCTCTGCCTCCCCAGTTCAAGTGATTCTTTTGCCTCAATCTCCCAAGTAGCTGGGAGGCACCACCACCGCGCCCAGCTAATTTTTGTGGTTTTAATAGAGATGGGGTTTCACCATATTGGCCAGGCTGGTCTCGAACACCTGACCTTGTGATCTGCCTGCCTTGGCCTCCCAAAGTGCTGGGATTACAGGTTAAGCCACCGTGCCTGACCTTAGGATTTCTGTTTTTAAAAGAGGTTCTGATAGGACCACTATTACCAAAATTACACTATTGATTATTTCACTGAATATGTTTTGCAATAAAATTAAGTTTCCTTTAAAAATAATTAATGGATCAAGTTCATCTTCTCCCCACTTGGTCCTAAGTAGTGTGTTTTTACCATTTGTAAGTCATGGAGTAGTCAAGAGAATGATAGCACGTAAGTCCCTTTGAGACCTGAAATTACTAATGCTCTTTAATAATCAGTAAAACTTGCACATATAATAATTAGAGGAGGGTAAAGAATTTATTCATTGTTTTAGTAAAGTTGATGAAAAAATTTAAAACCTAGCTTGGGTTTTACTTTACTACAAAAATTATTCATAACAAAGGAATGTAGTGACAACATTTAAATTAAGTTACAGTCTGCCATCTGCTTTCAAATGTTGGTTCTGGTATAGTTAATTGTTAATACACCTTTTCTGTAAAACGCTATCTTAAAATCTCACGCTGAAATCCTTCTGTGTGATTTGTTTTATTTTGTTTTGGTTGGTAAAGAGCTGTTTATTGGAAGTTGGTTCCATTTTATAAAAACACTGCTTGCGTTACGAAAAGCAGTCTTATTTTCCAAATGAAAAATGTTAAGCTTAAAGGGTCCGGAATCAATATCAAATGAGTCATAGAGTCATCACATTTTCAAACCAGAAGAGATCATCTATTGTATTTTACAAAATCTAAGACACCATCAGATGTATTTCAGTTTATGGACTTTGAAAATGTGTAGGGAGATGGGGAAATGTGTGTCTCCCAAGGGAGAGAAGTACGGTGGTTCAACAGCATCGATTTAAAGACTCTGGAAATGGAGATTTCAGAGAGACTTAAGTTTCTTAAGTCCTTTGATTGCAGTTAAAGTATTTTTATTTAATACTAAACCACCATGCTTTGCCAAAAGTTTCATTAAGTCAAGGTATAATAATTATTTTTCATCTTTTGAAATTACTGTCAGTATTTGATGAAATGGGCAATGAAATGCTCATCATAATTATATAATGAGACTCTGTTCTGTATATATGTTGCCCAGCTAGCCTTGAACTCCTAGGCTCAATCCTCCTGCGTTACCCTCCAAAGTAGTACAGGTACAAACCACGGCACTCTGTTAGTTTTTTTTTTCCATATGTATGTGTGTGTATGTGTGTATATATGATATATATGTATATGTGTGTGTATGTAAATCCCTGTTACATATATATACATATATATGTAACAAAAAAATTACATAGCTGATTTGACCCCAAACTGATATTAGGTGTAATGACCATTATTAAATGTTTATTTTTGTATTTTACACCTGCAATTCAGAAGGGTTTTGGTGAAATTATTTGGATGTCATGATGTTTGAACATGCCTTCTTTGTATTTTTTCTTAACATTTTTCTGTAGCAAGCAGAATTGAAAATTGTCTCATTGATTGTACAGGCGGCATTTCAAAAATCACTTGTATATAATTTCCTTATTGTGTAATTGGTGAGATTGTAATAAGAGTGAATAAAAGCACCAGAAAAAAAAAACTAAGGTCATTTACGAATTACCAGATAAACACAGGAACTAAGAAGAAATGGTGAAAAGTAGAGCCTCCCTGGATATGCAGAAGTGTTTTATAAAACTAGAATAGATGTTAGATCTTTAAAAACTTTGTTCTAGGCTGTAAGTAGTTGAGTTAGTAAGTATGATTTCTTAATACAAGCTAGGCTTGTTATTCTTCCTTCTGTTATGTACTAAAACTTTCTCTTTGGTGTTCTGATGAGATTTAATATTAACATAGAAGTTAATGCTTTTTAATAAGATAAAATTGTCTGTTAGTCTTTCCAATTAAAAGTTCATAGAATAATTGATATTCTTGGTGCTACTGTTCATTCACCATATCAAAGTGGTGCTTTTTTTTTTTTTTTTCCGAACCTCCCCGCCCCTCCCAGAGTGGTACTTTTCTGATGTTCCCCTATCCAGAATTAAACTGTTCAAATTATTATATTTCATTTTGATTATTTTAAATATGTTGTTTTAAATTATTTTAACTTAACAGTGTGATGCTATTAGTGTATTGGAGAAAGAACATGACTACAGAGATGAACATTTTGATTTTATTCAGTCACATATCCGGAAGTTTTGTTTACAGTGTATCCTTTTAAATGCGTTTATTGATTCAGTGTACAACCTTACCTGTTTTTGTTTTTTTTAAAGTTAAAATAATTAAATTGATGGACTTGAGAAATTCTGTAAACCTTTCTTCTTCTGCCTCTGGTTGGAAATTTTATTTTAGTTCCCAAGTTATTTATATTTGGATGTTTTGAGATAGAAAAGCAAATATTGAAGTATATTGCTTTGATTTGCTCTGTTTAAAGTATGCTTAAGAAAAACGATTATCAATTATATGTGGAAAAGTCTAGTCAGCTGTGGTTCTGAACACATCTGATTTAAAAACTGTATTTATTGGTTGTGGATGGCAGGGCAAGATCAATATTTTGGTTTTGTGTTTTCATGTTTAATTTGTTTAGTGTGTTATCTTCCCCACATACAGCCTAACAGTGGTTTCAAAATGTGGCTCTGCCTATCTAAGACTTAGTGGATTAGAATGTTCCAAATGAAGCTGGAGAATCTATACTTTAGAAACCTTCCTGGGAAATCTATCATAGAAAGTCTCATTAATCTAGATTGCAAGGATTAGGTGCGCCAGTGAGTAAAAATTACAGCTAAAAGAGGGAGAAAATGAAGGTTATAAGTGAATGCTTTTTAGAGACTTTACTATTGAGAACTTGGTTACACCTTGAATACTCTGAAGCGTAAACTCATCAGCCCTCTTAGATCAGATACTTTGCAGCTGTATTATCCAGCCAAAGCTTCTGAGTCTGAAAAGTAATGAAATGATATTAAGAATAAATAGGAATAAGTAATACACACGTTTATAATGTCTACAGTTTATAAGTCATTTTCATAGTGGGCATTTAATTTAAGGACCATTTATAGAAAGTCTGAATAAGATGACACTGAGAGTTTCCCTTTCCCGTTTCTCCTTAAGTTCTTTTTATGGGCATTTCTCTTCTCACGTCAACAAATGGCTGAGTTGGTTGAGTTAAAGGGCACTTGTCTACATAATGTCTTCAAAAAGAAAAAGTGCGAGTAATTGTAGTGTAGGTATCTATAGCCTTTTTTTGTTATCTTTGGAGATTAGAAAATTTGAGAATGAAAAACTCTTTAATCATTTATTTAATGCTGTATTTAAATGTAAATACAGAAATGTAATCAGAAAGGAAGCTTTCTACTAAAATAATTAGAGTCCATTAAAGCCATTAATTTTAAAAGAATACGAAATGGGAGAAGTCATCTCAAGATAATGAGGTATGTATTTATCAGTGACCGACAGTGAATTCAAAATCATCTTTATTTTATTAAATTTTTTCTGTTTGTGTTTTGTTTTTGAAAAGTAGTCTCGCTCTGTCACCCAGGCTGGAGTGCAATGGCGTGATCTCAGCTCACTGCAACCTCTGCCTCCCGGGTTCAAGCTATTCTCATGTCTTAGCCTCCCAAGTGAGTAGCTGGGATTACAGGTGCCTGCCACCACACCCAGCTAATTCATTTTTTTTTATTGTTGTTGTTGTTTTTTAAGATGGAGTTTTGTTCTTGTTGCCCAGGCTGGAGTGCAGTGGCACGATCTTGGCTCACCACAACCTCTGCCTCCCAGGTTCAAGTGATTCTTCTCTCTCAGCCTCTCGAGTTGTTGGGATTATAGGCATGTGCCACCATGCTAGATCAATTTTTCTTTTTGTATTTTTAGTAGAGACAGAGTTTCTCCACGTTGGTCAGGCTGGTCTTGAACTCCAGATTTCAGGTGATCCGCCGGTCTTGGCCTCTCAAAGTACTCGGATTATAGATGTGAGCCACTGTGCCTGGCAGCCTGGCTAATTTTTGTATTTTTGGAAGAGATGGGGTTTTGCCATGTTGGCCAGGCTGGTGTCGAACTCCTGACCTCAGGTACAGCCACCTCGGGCTCCCAAAGTACTTGGATTATAGGCATGAGCCACTGTGTCCAGCCTTTATTTTATTAAATTTTTAATTGCAATATAAGTTTTTCAGTTATCGAAATCATCCAGATTATCATAATTAGATTTGCATTGTGGGGAACATCATTAATGCAAAGTTCATGAAGTTAAACTTTTGCCTAAGTTTATGCTTATCTTTTACCTAAGTTTATGTTTGTCTTTACCATGTTAAGGTTTCATATCAAGGTAAGCTGTATTTAGCAATACTGCTTTTAGGTTCATAAACCTCAGTCACGTCCCAAAAGCTATGAGTATCCCAGTTAAGAAGTTAGACATACTCCCAGGATTTCCCCTTGGCCTAAGTCACCATCTCCCATGGAGGCACAGTGGCCAGTGCTAGAATGTGCGTGGTCATAGAATTTCTGATAGCCACTCTGAACACATCGTCTGTCTGTGGTCACATTGTCTATGGATGTCTTAATATTTTCTTCCACTGTGTCTTTTGGATAAAAGGTCAGTGTTAGGCTCTGCTTTAATACCTCTTCATGTGAGATTGTGTGATTTCAAGTTTTGTCATGAAATGTGCTTTTGCCTTAGGTTATTCCTGAAAGCCTCCTGATGGGTACCTGCAGACTCACCTCTCGATAATGGGTCTTTTTTACCCTCTTCAGTGAGTCTCCTGAGCTTTATCCTGGAAGTTTTAATTCCTGGGTTTAGTAAAAACTACAAAGAGACTCTGTTACACACCATTTTTGTTGAAAAGGCAAACAAAACAGTTGTTGATAAATAATATCCCCTCCATGAATATTAGGAAAGTTAAAATCATAGAAATTGTCCTTTCATGTGCTTTAAATGTAGAAGTAGTAGTGGTGTCAGTATTTCTAGATTTACCTTTACTTCTTGGCTTAATGAGACTTCTACCTTCCTAAGTTAAATTGATTAAGTAAAAATTATTTCATCGTAGCCTATATAAAGGTGGGTACTTGTAACTATCGAAGTTTTTGATTACCATATAACATACCTTTGGAGTTATTTCTGAAAGTAAAATGCACATAGGTATAAATGTTAAGCTGAAAACATAGAATTTCATATTTGTCCATGACATTTGTCCAGAATTTTCTTTGACCATATTGTTCAGATGGTGCAGCACTTATTTACACTTCAGTAAAAGAGAACAAAAATATAGACTTAGTATATAAATACATCGTTCAGAAACTATATGGATTTCCCTATAAGATTCCTGCTGTTGTTGTGGAAAAGGATGCAGTATTTATGTAAGTTGACTCTTAAATATATAATTTTATCATGTATTATTGCTGCTATTTGATGGTGAATCTTTATTTTCGGTTTTGAGATAAGAACAATAAACCTTTCCATGATGAATAAGTGAGCATCTATCTGTTCCTAGATTGTTTTTTATGTATAACCTGTCTGGATTTATCTCTTGTTGCCTTTTTAGATTTACTGCTGGCCTGAGCCCTTTTTCAAAGGTTTTTGCTATTAGAGCTAAACTGTCTACTGGGTGCATATATTAGTGCATTGTATCTACTTATTCTTTAATTGATTATGATACATAAATGACCAAATTTCTGATCTGGACATGATGTTAAAAAGTTACGTGGCCAGGCACGATGGCTCACGCTTGTAATCCTGGCATTTTGGGAAGCCAAGGCGAGCGGATCACCTGAGGTCAAGAGCTCGAGAACAGCCTGGCCAACATGGCAAAACCTCCCTCTACTAAAAAATACAAAAATTAGCTGGGTTGTTGGTGGTGCATGCCTGTGGTCCCAGCTACTCTGGAGGCTGAGGCACGAGAATTACTTGAACCTGGGAGGCAGAGGTTGCAGTGAGCTGAAATTGCGCCACTGCACTCCAGCTGGGTGACAGAATGAGACTGTTTAAAAAAAAAAAAAAAGTTACCTGAATAGTCCGTGTGCAGTGGCTCATGCCTAAAATCCCAGCACTTTAGAAGGCTGAGGTGGAAGGATTGCTTGAACTCAAGAGCCCAAGACTAGCCTGAGCAACATTATGAGACCTCATCTCTACCAAAAATTTAAAAATCAGCCAGGTATGGTGGTACAGACCTGTGGTTCCAGCTACTTGGGAGGCTGAGGTGTGAGGATCACTTGAGCCCGGAGACCAAGGCTATAATGAGCCATGGTTGAGCCACTGTACTCCAACCTGGGCAACAGAGCAAGACTCTGTCTCAAAAAAAAAAAGGTACCTATATAAAATTGGGAGATAATAGTTATTGCCCCCTGCCTCGCAAGTTAACATTAATGACACTTTTAAGATAAGAATATTGGTAATTTTTTTTTTTGAGACAGGGTCTCACTTCCATCACCCATCCTACAGCTCAGTGACTTGATCTCAGCTCACTTTAGCCTCCACCTCCCAGGCTCAAGCAATTCTCCTGTCTCAGCTTCCCAAGTAGCTGGGACTACAGGTGCACGCCACCATGCACACCCAGCTAATTTTTTTTCTTTTGTATTTTTTATAGAGATGGAGCTTTGTCGTGGTGCCTGGGCTTTCATTTTAAGTAGAAATTAGTAAAATGTGACATCATAATAAAAAGCTAATTTGTTTTCCATAATTGTTCAGATTGGCTTCATAAAAATGTGTTCTTGGACTGAATCAACGAATGGCCGTACAAATGCTTAAGAACTTAACATATGTATTCCTTTCTAGTCCAGCAGGGTGGGATAATGATAAGAAAATAGGAATATTACATGAAAATTTTCAGACATTAAAAGCAGAAGATAATTTTGAAGACATCATAACTAAACCACCTGTTCGAAAGGTAACCATTTTAGTAAATAATCTCAGTAGATAGACTTTAGACTAAACTGAAGGGAAGTCTGTACTTTCAGATTGAAGGTACGAAGGCAAGGATGTCCTTTGCTATCTGGAGGGTTTCTAAGTATAATTTGGGCGTGTTTCTAATGTACAGTTTACATAAGGATTTGTTTTAGCAAAATATAAATCAACTGTTCAGCTAATTAAATCTTAGCCCTTGGCATATTCATAATAGCACTTGTTAGTACATAGTGCCTTGGCAATCATAGATTGGCATGAGTGAACTCTTACAGAGTTTGAATAGGTAGAAGCTCTGAACTTTCCAACCTAGAACTTGGTTGAGAGCGAAGAAAACATTGCCAGAATAATTCTCATGATTCTATCTATTGGGGCAGATCTTGGATCTTCCCTGCAGTTAGTTACCCACTTTAGCTTGCAGCTATCCAGGAACTTCCAATTTTCTATATACAGCTTTAGTCTTGACTATAACATATCAAACTATTAAATCAGGCCCCAGTAGATACACTGCTTTCCTATATCTTGATTTCATGGTAAGCAGTGTATAGTGTTCTATAGATAGAGATGTTTCTGAAGAGCTCTATAAAATGAGTATTTGCATAAATAAATTGAATATCCCTAATTTGAAAATCCAAAATGGTCAAAATTCTGAAACACTTTGAGTACCATCATGACTCTCAGAAGGAAATGCTTATTGAAACATTTTGGATTTTCAGCTTAAGGATGCTGAACTGATAGGTATTAATATAAATATTCAGCAGTCTGAAATACTTCCACTTCTGGTCCCAAGTATTTCGGCTGAAGGATACCTAACCTGTAGTACTTCTTACTGACTGACTTTAATCTTGATATATATGTCAAGAAAAAATAATTTTGATTTAACATATAAGACTTTAAGAATCTAAAGATTCATAACATAGAGCATCCATCTTCTGTTTGTGGGTTACTGTTAGTAATAAGAAAAGATCAAATGAAAAATCAATTGGTGTGATATTTGGTCTAGATGTCTATTAAAAGAAATGCATACATAAAAATAAAGTAGCAGTCTGGGCACAGTGGCTCAAGCCTGTAATCCCAGCACTTTGGGAGGCCAAGGCGGGTGGATCACGAGGTCAAGAGACCGAGACCATCCTGGTCAACGTGGTGAAACCCCATCTCTACTAAAAATACAAAAAATTAGCTGGGCATGGTGGCGCCTGCCTGTAATCCCAGCTACTCAAGAGGCTGAGGTGGGAGAATTGCTTGAACCCAGGAGGCGGAGGTTGCGGTGAGCCGAGATGGCGCCATTGCACTCCAGCCTGGGTAACAAGAGCGAAACTCCGTCTCAAAAAATAATAAATAAATAAATAAATAAAATAGCAAAAATATTTCCCATTCTTTTACCAACAGATACGCTTCTTTAAGTTGTCTTTTTCTTTTACTCATTCCACAAATATTTATTGAGCATCACTTTAGGCCCTATTTAGGTTCTAAGTGCTAAATGGGAAGGCGGGTGATATGTATAATAAACCAATACATAATCATCTGTCAAGTAGTGGTAAGTGCTACAGAAATAAAGCAGGGTGTAGGGAGAGTGAGTGAGAGGACTGGGCTGTGAGGAATGCTGTTTATAAACGATGTGGGAAGGCCTTTGATATAAGAGGAGAGAATGCTGAAGGCAGAAGAAACTAAAAGTGCTCATGCCCTGAGGTAGAAATGTACGAGGAAGACAGGCAGGAAAGAGCTGTGAGGAAGGAGAGAGTGCTGGGAGATGAGAGGCAGAGTTCAGTTACTGTGGGTTTTTATCATCAGGCCACAGTAAGGACTTTTGGTTTCATTCTGAGTTAGATGGAAAGCAATTGAGAGTTTGAGCAGAGGAGTGATATAATCTCTGATTGGGTGTGTGTTTTATAGCAAGACTAGAAGCAGGAGACTTTTGCAGTTCTTTTTCCCAATTACTCAGCTTAGAGAAGAGCCATTATATTTTTATTTCAGATAAGGGACAAGTTGTATGTCACTTAACTAGGATATTACTGGTCCTTTTAAAACACCCTAACTGCTGTTTAGCAAATTTATAAGCATTATTAATATGCTTGTGGCTCTAGGATTGTGCTGTTCAATACGGTAGCCACTTGCCTTATGTGGCTTTTAAATGTAAAATTAAATACAATTAAAAATTAAGTTCCTCTGTTACACTAGCCACATTTCAAGAGCTCAGTAGCCACTGGTGGCCAGTGACTGTCATATTGAACAGCACAGATACAGAACATTTCAAGAATTGTAGCTAGTTACTGAACAGCTCTGCTGGAGGTCTTGGGTAGTGCAGCTCACTTGTGCATATAAATATAGTATAGGAAATGTTCAAATTCTTGGACTGTTTTTTAATTAGTCTAATCTAGAGAATAAGTTATTAATGGCATTAGCATAATATATTAAACTTATGCATTGCTCATTTCAGTTTGTACATGAGAAAGAAATTATGGCAGAAGATGATCAAGTGTTTCTTATGAAGCTACAGGTATGAAATTATATCAGAAGCAGACTTAGTATGGTTAATGAGTAAACTGTTCTCGTGTGCATTTTCTTTAAAAATACACTGGTATATGCTGTGAATGTCTAAACTAGTACTCTTTTGGCTTTTTTTCAGTCCCTTTTAGCCAAGCAACCACCAACTGCAGCTGGAAGGCCTGTGGTCAGTATTACAAATCTTAACAAAATTGTTAAAATGCAGTACATATCGTTTTAGTTCTTTTTTCTTAATTATATACATATCTCATATGGGTGTGCTTTGGTGTAAACTTGAATTCAGAATTCTCTAATTCGTGAGATTTTGCAAGTGTAAAGATCTGTTTGTAACGCTTGTTGTGTGTCAGCTCAGGCATTTATGTGTCATTTTACAAATCCTCACAACCGTCTTATGAGGCAGGACTATTACTAGCCCCATTTTGCAAATGAGGAAATGGGAGTCTTAGGGAGGACATTGTGGCTTGCCTGAGATTATAAAGCTAGTAGAATACAAATCCAGATTGGAAACCAAATCTCACTCCCAGGCTTATACTCATAACTGTACATCATCACTCAATATGTTCTTTATTTTGTATGAAAGGGAAAATTAGTATTCTAAAATGTGATAGGCCTCTGGCATTCTCTAATAATGAGGACAGGATTGCTAACAGTTTTGTCAATGGCTTGCAGTGTAAAAATACCAGTAGAGCAGTGAAAATTTCAGGTTTTTATAATTGCCTTTTCCTATTTTTACATAGGATGCCTCACCAAGAGTTCCAGGAGGCTCCCCTCGAACCCCAAATAGATCTGTGTCATCCAATGTTGCCAGCGTGTCACCCATCCCTGCTGGGTCAAAAAAAATTGATCCAAACATGAAAGGTACATCTCTTTCTAGGAGATAACCAGACAATACATTAGAAAGAATCTATCTAAAATTCCACCTTTTACCATAACTATTTTCAGTCTTGTGCAATACTTTCTAGGCTCTCTGTGGATATGTAATCTCATAGTTAACAAGATCGTAAACCATTTTACAGTGTATTTGTGATGTATTATCCTTTCCATAATAAAGGTGTTGTTATATATAATCACTTTTCTCGTAGATCATTGAAGAAAGTCATATTTATACTATAATAGGTCATCTGCAATTGACATAAAGAAAAAACTATATACATAATAGTTATTTCTGTAGGAATAATTGCCATAAATAGGATTAGTAGGTCAAAGAGTTTATGTTTTTATGCCTTTGATGATATTTTTTTCAAATGGATTATTCAACTTTGCATATCATCAACATTGAGTGTTAGAGTTTTGCTGTAGCCTAATTAATATGCTTTAAATACCACCTAATAAGAGTTATTTTCCCTAGTATTTTGCTTCTATTGTTTTCTCTTCTGTGAGTCGTTTATTGCTATCTTTCGCCCATTTATTTCTGGGGACTTCTACTGGTTTTCACATAGGATTCTGTAACTTTTCATAATATTTGAAGCAATTTCTCAACAATTCTCTTTTTGAATAATCCTTTTCAAATGGGAGACATATATTAGTATATAACATCTTTTTGTTTAAAATACCTTTGGCCTTTTAAAACTAACATTCTAATTTTTAAGTAATTATTTTACACTCTTAAAGTTTACTCATTTTGTTTTGTATATAAGTAGATTAGAGAAATTACTCAGCATCAAAAGATCAAACTAGACTTGAATTTGGAATATAAAACTCTTAAATTTTAAGTTTATTCATTTTCTATGTGTGATTACTCTAATAATAATTTATGGGAAAGTCTTATGTTTTGACTAAAGCATTTTGTTTTTTGTTTTTTATAGCTGGAGCTACAAGTGAAGGCGTCCTGGCAAATTTCTTCAACAGTTTATTGAGTAAAAAGACTGGCTCTCCAGGAGGCCCTGGTGTGAGTGGTGGTAGCCCTGCAGGTGGGGCTGGAGGTGGAAGCAGTTGTTTACCACCATCTGCCAAAAAGTCAGGTATACTTAATGGGAGCAAATCGCTTTTTAAAAATAACTGTTTTATTGAGATATAATGAAGTTAACTCATGTAAAGTATATAATTCTGTGGTTTTAGTATCTTTACAAAGTTGGATAGACCATCACTGTAATCTGATTTTAGAACATTTTTATCTCCCCAAAAGAAACCTTGAACCTTATCTTTTTCCTCTACAGATTTGCCTATCTGCACATTTCATGGAAATGGATTTATACAATGTATGGCCTTTTTTTTTTTTTTAATGACGAGGTTTCTCCATGTTGGTTGGGATGGTCTCAAACTCCCAACCTCAAGTGATCTGCCCGCCTCAGTCTCCCAAACTGCTGGGATTACAGGCATGAACCACCACCCCCAGCTCAATGTATGTCTTTAACAAATGTTTTTGAGGGTCATACATGTTGTAATATGTATCAATTCTTTATTTTTTTTTTTGAGACAGAGTCTGGCTACGTTGCTCAGGCTGGAGTGCAGTGGTGTGATCTCAGCCCACTGTAGCTTCTGCCTCTGGGGTTCAAGTGAGTCTCCTGTCTCAGCCTCCCAAGTAGCTGGGATTACAGGTACCCACTACCACGCCTGGCCAATTTTTGTAATTTTAGTGGAGATATTGTTTCACCATGTTGGCCAGGCTGGTCTTGAACCCCTGGCCTCAAGCGATCCACCCACCTCAGCCTCCCAAAGTGCTAGGACAACAGTCATGAGCCACCGTGCCCGGCCTACATTCCTTAATTGCTGAATAATATTTTATTATATGGCTAATACCACATTTCATTTATCCATTCACTGGATGATAGACATCTGAGTTTCATCTACTTTTTTTACTATAATTAAGATAGTGCTGCTTTGAACATCGAATTTTGTGTGGATACAAGTTTGTAATTCTCTTCGGTAAATACTTAAGTGGAATTATTGGGTCATGTAGTAACTCTGTTTAAACAAAGGTTTTGAAGAACTGCTGAAGTGTTTTCCCAAATGCTGTATGTACCATTTTAAATTGTCACTGGCAGGTTAGGAGATTTCCAGTTTCTCCATATCCTTACCACATTTTTATTGTCATCTGTTGTTAACCACTCATTCACCTCTCCAAATGCTAAATTTTTGTTGCTATTTTCTATTTTACTGTTCTTATTGTCCCATGCCTTAAAAAAAAAAACAAAAACCTTTGTGAGGTTAAATGATAGGTGCCAGTTTTACCCCCATTTGGTAACAGATCCATAATTTAAAATGAAGGAATTTGTTTTTTCTTGAAATTTTAATTAGTTTTATTTATTTTTTAGACAGAAGTCTCTGTTGCTTAGGCTGGGATGCAGTGGTGTGATCTCAGCTCACTGTAACTACCACCTCTGGGATCAAGGAATTTCTCCCGCCCCAGCCTCCCAAGTAGCTGGGATTACAGGTGTGCACCACCACACTCAGCTAATTTTTGTATTTTTAGTAGAGACAGGGTTTCACTCTGTTGGCCCGGCTGGTCTCGAATTCCTGACTTCAAATGATCCTCCCACCTCGGCCTCCCAAAAGTGCTGAGATTATAGGCATGAACCACTGCAGCTGGCTTAAAATTTTTAAATTAAGGGTCATTTATATAACTTGGTGTGCTAAAGTTAATGAAAGTGTTAGCGATTTTTAAATGAAGAGAGATTGGTTAAAAACAATACTTTCACTTATGTGTCAATCTTGTTTATTTCCTTTCTCTTCAATGTAGGCCAGAAGCCTGTCTTAGATGTTCATGCAGAACTAGACAGAATCACACGAAAACCAGTTACAGTTTCTCCCACAACACCTACATCTCCTACGGAAGGAGAAGCTTCTTGAAGATACCAAATAAAGCCATTTATTCAGTTTTCTGGGATAATGTAAACATGCCTCTGCCTTTTCCTTCAAAAATGGAATTAGAAAGCTGGAGTGCTTCTTCAGATGGACTAAATGTATGTCTTGTGTGTGTGTGTGTGTGGTTGCCCGTTTTTTATAAGGCGCTATACAGAAGAAAAATTACTCTACGTTATGTAGGATTGCTATTTGCATTGCTATTTTGCATAAGGAAGTAATTTTTGATTTTGAAAATCTCAAAACTTTCAGATCGGAAATACAACCATGTGATCGATCATATTCTAAAGGCTATTTAAAACATGTAGAAGAGTTTAGGAGAAGGGCAGAAAACATGCAGATTGGGCATTTGACTGACTTGTAAGTCTAAGCTTATTTTAGTTATAACTATTAAAATCATTTTTAAAAATTTGTCAGTTCTGCTGACAGAAAAAAATTGTCAGATTTTGCACACCAACATAAATGTACCACCACACACAGAAATGCTGAGAGAACTGTCAGACAGCATTTGACACACTAGTCATTGTCTCAATCACTGATCTGTAAGTTGTCATCAAAATATGATTTAGAAATATTGGTCAAGGTGTTTCTTTAACTGAGAAGAAAAGAAAGCACACTGCCTAAATGTGTAAAAGAAAAATGCAGAGGTTATTAAAATGTAAAGAGGTAACAATCTTTGGATTTGTCTATACATATATATATATTTGGCTTTGCCTTAATATACCCCTTTTTTGTTTGTGACTTTGAACTGTAATCAGTTAATAAAGTATTTATTCTCTGCATTCAGGTTCAAATAACTTGTTGCATTTTCTTATGTTTAAATTTACATGTGTCAGCTAATAAATGAGATTCATTAGTATAGTCATCCCTTGGTATCCATGAGGCAGATTGGTTCCAGGACCTACCTCAGGTTCTAAAATCCACAGATGCCTAAGTCGGAGATAGAAAGTGGTATAGTATTTGCATATAGCATTCACATCCTCCTCTATGCTCTAAATCATCTCTACATGATAATACCTAATTCATTGTAAATGCTATGTATATACTTGCACTGTATTGTTCAGAGGAAGATAAAATCTGCCTGTTTAGATGCGATTATTCTTTTCCAAGTATTTTCTTTCTGTCATTGGTTCAATCCATGGATATGGAACCCACAGATACAGAGGGCTAATTTAAAATGTTTGACCTAATTAATAGAAAAGCATTCTGACCTTCTGAGAGATAAATGAATACATTGGATTCCCTATCCTGTACATTTCCTTAATTTGGGAGTTTGCCTTGGTCAACACATCTTCCTCAAGGGCAGAATCTTACATCAGCACGTCTAGTAGGTAAAAATACTAGCCTTCTATCATTTAACAGGAAGAAGTTTTAAAAGCTTGGCAGGTACCCTAACACATAGCCACTCCCTTACAGGTGAGAAGACGTGTTACTGATTTCACCTTTTCAATACTCAGTTTTCAATGATTGTTTTAGAAACTTAAGGACAAATGAATTTTTTTATTGAAGTTCATCTAAAGAACACATCTATATTTGACCTGAGTCATTTAGATAGTTGGGGGGAAAATGGTTGCTGCCCTTTAAATTGGTCTTTGTTACTACTTTGTTGTTTTTTTTTTTTTTTGAGACAGAGTTTCGCTCTTGTTACCCAGGCTGGAGTGCAGTGGCGCTATCTTGGCTCACTGCAACCTCCGCCTCCTGAGTTCAGGCAATTCTCCTGCCTCAGCTTCCTGAGTAGCTGGGATTACAGGCATGCACCACCATGCCCAGCTCGTTTTTTGTATTTTTTTTTTTAGTAGAGACGGGGTTTCACCATGTTGACCAGGATGGTCTTGATCTCTTGACCTCGTGATCCACCCGCCTCAGCCTTCCAAAGTGCTGGGATTACAGGCTTGAGCCACCGCGCCCAGCCTTACTACTTTGAAATAGATATTCTGAAGGTTTTTTTGAACAAAGTGTTTAAAGACAATACCTCAATCATCTTGCACAATCACTTTATTAAATCTTAAAATCCATTTAGTCTTACAATAATATTTGGCACCTTATATTTAATATAAATGTTCAAAATACATGAGGTGCTGGTCGTGGGTGGTTCATACCTATAATCCCAGCACTTTGGGAGGCTGAGGTGGGAGGATCACTTGAGCCCAGGAGTTTGAGACCAGTCTGAGCAACATGAGAACCCATCTTTACAAAAAATTAGCAGGGTGTTGTGGCACATGCCTGTAGTCCCAGATACTTAGGAGGCTAAGGTGGGAGGATCACTTGAGCCCAGAAAATCGAGTCTTCAGTGAGCTGTGATTGTGCCACTGCACTGCAGTTTGGATGACAGGGGAATCCCTGTCATATATATATATATATATATATATATATATAGAGAGAGAGAGAGAGAGAGAGAGAGAGAGAGAGAGACACACACACACCCATATGTGTATGGATATGAGAGGATAATAATTGGTTTCCATGTGGGGAAAAACAGGGTATTTGTGGGCATACAAAAATTTATGAAAATGTTCTGTCTGATAAAATATTTGAGATAATGCCACTGATAAAATCTTTAGTTCAGAACAGGTTCTGCAAAAAGGCTGATGTAGATTCTTTCCAAATTAGTACATGATGAAATAAGGAGAGCTAAATACAACTGCAGACAATATGTGGTATGCTTGGATGTATCTGCTATCTTACTTGCATGCATAAGCCAACTCTGACATTGTTCATGTTCTAGAAAATCCTTGGAATGGAGTTGTTACTTTAATTGCTCACTCTGGGATTTAGTCTTATCCAATCTTAAGAGTTTCCATAGACCGTGATTAAACAAACCTATTTTTGTTTAAACCTTAAACCAATGTTTTGCAAGGAGAGTTGTTTTAAACTTTTTGTTTGTTTTTAAGCAAATTTTTAATTGAAGCATACAATACAGAAAAGTGTGCAAGTGTATGGTTTGAAGTATCACAAAGTGACCGCATATAACCGGCACCAAAATAAGCAACAGAAAATCACCCAGCACCCACAGAAGCTTCCAGTGTGCCCCTCAATCAGTATCCCCACCCACCAAGTAACCACTGCCTAACTTACAATACACAGATAAGTCTGGCTTATTTTTAAGCTTTATATAGATTGAATCTTACAGAGTTACTATTTTAGTGCCAGGCATCTTTCAATATCGGGTTTGTGGTTCATCCATTTTGTTGCATGTATTAATAGTTATTGCAGCATGTTACTCCACAAATATACCATAGTATTCATAATGCTATAGATGGATATGTTACTGTTATAGATGGATGCTATAGATGGATATGTTACTGCAGGAAATTACCATAAATTGGTGGCTTAACATTATACAAATTTATTTTACCATGCTGGAGGTTAGAAGTCCAAAATAAAAATTAGCTGGGCATGGTGGCGCATGCCTGTAGTCCCAGCTACTCAGGAGGCTGAGGCAGGAGAATTGCTTGAACCCAGGAGGCGGAGGTTGTAGTGAGCTGAGATCGTGCCATTGCACTCCAGTCTGGGTAACAACAGCGAAACTTCGTCTCAAAAAAAAAAAAAGTCCAAAATAAAGCCTCACTGGGATAAAGTTAAGTGTCAGCAGAGCTGGCTTTTTTTTTTTTTTTGGAGGCTCTAGAGAAGTATCTGTTGTCTTCCTTTCTGGCATCAAGAAGCTGCCTGTATTCTTTGGCTCTTGGCCCTTTTCTCCAAAGCCAGCAGCCTAGCATCTTCAGCTCTGCGTCCATCATATCACTTTCATTCTGACCTTCCTGCTTTCCTCTTTTTTTTTTTTTTTTTTTTTTTTTTTGAGACAGTTTTGTTCTGTCGCCAGGCGCCAGGCTGGAGTGCAGTGGCGCAATATCGGCTCACTGCAATCTCTGTCTCCTGGGTTCAAGCAATTCTCCTGCCTCAGCCTCCCAAGTAGTTGGGACTACAGGTGCATGCCACCACACCCACCTAATGTTTGTATTTTTTAGTAGAGATGAGGTTTCACCATGTTGGCCAGGATGGTCTCAATCTCCTGACCTCGTGATCTGCCTGCCTTGGCCTCCCAAAGGATTACAGGCGTGAGCCACCGCACCTGGCTCTGCCTCTTATAAGGACTGAAGTGATTAAATTGGGCCCCCCGAATAATTCATTATGCTCTCCTCTAACAACGCTTTAAATATTCCACTGCACTCTCTTGCTTGCATTGTTTCTGAAAAAGAATCAGATGAAATTCTTATCTTTTCTCTCTAGAGGGGCTTTTTACCTCTGGCTTATTTAAAGACTTTGATTTTCTGCAATTTGCATATGATATGCCTAGGTATAGGTTTGTTTTTCATTTATCTTTCATTTGATTTTATTTGTCTTATTTTTTGAGATAGGGTCCCACTCTGTTGCTCAGGCTGGAGTACAGTGACTCAATCAGAGCTCAATGCAACCTCTGCCTCCCAAGCTCAAGCAATCCTCCCAACTCAGCCTCCCTAGTAGCTGGGGCTACAGGCACGCACCACCATGCCCAGCTAATTTTTGTATTGTTTCTAGAGACAGGGTTTCACTATATTGCCCAGGCTTGTCTCAAACTCCTGGGCTCAAGCAATCCTCCTGCCTCCACCTCCCAAAGTGTTGGGATTACAGGTGTGAGCCACTGCACCTGGCCCATTGATCTTTCTTAATGCTTCCTGAACCTCATGGATCTGTAGTTTGGTGTCACATTAATATGGGGAAATTCTCAGTCATTGCTTCAGATATTTATTTTGTTCCTTTCTTCTCTTGGTATGCCTATTACCTATATGTTACACCGTTTATAGTGGCCCCCCAGTTCTTGGATATTTTGTTCCTTTGTGTGCATGTGTGTCCGTTTTCTCTTTGCTTTTCAGTTTTGAAAGTTGATGTTGACATGTCCTCCAGCTGAACAATTCTTTCCTCAGCTCAGCAATTCTCAGTCCAGTCTACTAGTGAGCCTATCAAAGGCATTCGTTGTTTGTTTTTTCTTCATCTCTAGCATTTATTTTTGATACGCTCTTAGAATGTTCATCTCTGCTTACATTATCCATCTGTTCTTGGATGTTGTCTACTTTTTCCACTAGAGTCCTTAGCATATTAGTCATAGTTGTTTTGAATTAATGGTCTGATAATTCCAACATTCCTGCTATATCCGAGTCTGGTTCTGATGCTTGCTCTGTCTTCAAACTGTGTTTTTTATATTTATTAATTAATTAATTAATTAATTATTTATTTTTGAGACGGAGTTTCGCTCTTGTTATCCAGGCTGGAATGCAATGGCGCGATCTCGGCTCACCACAACCTCCGCCTCCTGGGTTCAGGCAATTCTCCTGCCTCGGCCTCCTGAGTAGCTGAGATTACAGGCATGCACCACCATGCCCAGCTAATTTTTGTATTTTTAGTAGAGATGGGGTTTCACCATGTTGACCAGGATGGATGGTCTCGATCTCTTGACCTCGTGATCCACCCGCCTCAGCCTCCCAAAGTGCTGGGGTTACAGACGTGAGCCACCACGCCCAGCCTCAAACTGTGTTTTTTATATGCTTCACACATTTTCGTTAACAGCTGGATATGATGTACAGTAAAAGGAGCTCTGGTGAGTAGGCCTTTAGTGGTGTGGGGGAGAGGAAGCATTCTGTATTTCTATTATTAGGGCTCAGTTTTAGCAAGTCTGTGCCCCTGGGATGTAAATTTCCTAAGTGTTTTTAAGTACCCATACCCGCCTTAGGTGAGATAGGATGTCTAGAAGGGGCTGGAGTTAGGTGTTTCCCTTCCACCAGGTTGGTTTGGCTCTGATAAAACCCCAGTAGGTAAGGCT